GTATATAGTGAAGTAAATAAGTATTTGATCCCCTGCTGATTTTGAATGTTTGGCCACTCACAAAGAAATGATCAGTCTAAAAATCGAATGGTAGGTGTATTGTAACACTGAGAGACAGAATAGCAACAAAAAATTCAAAACAAATGCATGTCTAACAAATGATGCACTGATTTGCATGTTCATGAGGGAATAAGTATTTGATCCCCTTCACAAAACATGACTTAGTACTTGGTGGCAAATCCCTTGTTGGCAATCACAGAGGTCAGACGTTTCCTGTAGTTGGCCACCAGGTTTGCACACATCTCAGGAGGGATTTTGGCCCGCTCCTCTCGGCAGATCCTCTCCAAGTTATTAAGGTTTGGTGGCTGATGTTTGGCAAGTCGATCTTTCAGCTCCCTCCACAGATTTTCAATCAGATTAAGGTCTGCAGACTGGTTAGGCCACTCCAGGACCTTAATGTGGTTCTTCTTGAGCCACTCCTTTGTTGCCTTGGCCATGTGTTTTGGGTCATTGTCATTTTGGAACACCCATCCACGACCCATTTTCAATGCCCTGGCTGAGGGAAGAAGGTTCTCACCCAAGATTTGACAGTACATTGCCCCGTCCATCGTCCTTTTGATGCAGTGCAGTTGTCCTGTCCCCATAGCAGAAAAACACCCCCAAAGCAGAATGTTTCCACCACCATGTTTGACAGTTGGGATGGTGTTCTTGGGGTCATAGGCAGCATTCCTCCTCCTCCAAACACGGCAAGTTGAGTTGATGCCAAAGAGCTCGATTTTGGTCTCATCTGACCACAACACTTTCAACCAGTCCTCCTCTGCATCATTCAGATGTTCAGTGGCATACTTCAGACAGGCCTGGACATGTGCTTTGTTGAACAGAGGGACCTTGCGTGCACTGCAGGATTTCAATCCTTGTCGGTGTAGTATGTTACCAATTGTTTTCTTGGTGACTGTGGTCCCAGCTGCCTGGAGATCATTGACAAGATCCTCACGTGTAGTTCTGGGATGATTCCTCACTGTTCTCATGATCATTGACACTCCATGAGGTGAGATCTTGCATGGTGCACCAGACCTACGGAGACTGACAGTTGTTTTGTGTGTCTTCCATTTGCGAATGATTGCATCAACTGTTGTCACCTTCTCACCAAGCTGCTTGCCGATAGTTTGGTAGCCCAGTCCAGCCTTGTGTAGGTCTATAATCTTGTCCCTGACAACCTTGGAAAGCTCTGTGGTCTTTGCCATGGTGGAGAGTTTGGAATCTGATTGTTTGATTGCTCCTGTGGACAGGTTTCTTTTATTCAGGTAACAAAAAGAGATTGGCAGCACTCCCTTTAAGAGACTGCTTCTAATCTCAGCTTGTTACCTGTATGAAAGACACCCGGTAGTCAGAAATCCTACTGAATGATAGGGTATATAATACTTATTTCCCTCATGAACATGCAAATCAGTGCATAATTTGTTAGACATGCATTTCTTTTGAATTCTTTGCTTCTATTCTGTCTCTCAGTGTTACAATACGCCTACCATTCGATTTTCAAACATTCAAAATCAGCAAGGGATCAAATACCTATTTCCTTATATATATATATATATATATAGTATGCTGCCTATTATTCACATTAATCAACATCTCATGTTTACATACACAAATAAATCACTCTTCTCTTATGGTTCCTCCCCTATGCTCACCATGCGTGTTGCAATCTGAAGCTATGTAATGTAAGGAATAACCTAACAAATCCAATTAATCTGTATCCAATCAAGCAGGCCCTTGCACTACATGATGGTTGGTAAATCTAAGGGTTCATTCAGATTTGTGATTAGTCCCATCCTCTGTGCAGAGCTGTTGGCAGACACGTGTGCATTCACCTTGGATCTGCAGGCAGGCAGTCCATTAAATTGCATGCATGTGCAGATCCAACACAGAAACAATCACATGCCAAAATTTGACATGCAGGCAAGAGTGGGTGCATGAATCCAAATCCAGAAGCTCTGCTGTTGGATTTGTACACCTGCTCCTGCTTGCACATCAAATTTGACATACAACTGTGCCTGTGCCATGTGCATACACTTCTATGGGCTGCCTGCATGCAGCCCAAAGTGAACGCACACATATCTGCCAACAGCTCTGCATTGAAGATGGGCTTCACCCATCTGAATGAGCCCTAAATGAAATTGTACACTCAGATTGTAACGTGTGTTGTGAGCTTAAAGGGTAACTGCACATTTTAAAAATAAATAAATATAAATATATATATATATATATATCTCAAATTTAAAGAAATACTACATCATAAAGGTTGTGATTCACAATTTCCTGTTTGTATGATTGGTTCACTGATCTGCTCAGAGTTCTGCTCTATGATTCAATTACATTTTAGACATCCTCTGCAACAGGTATTATATTTTTAGTTGGATACTTCTTAAGAGTTAGTTCATTCTAAAGGGAAGCAGATTCTGCAACTTTCCTCATTAGGACACTGCAAGTGCATCAGCTGCTTATATTGAACACAGACACTCCCTTTCAGGAATCAGTATTCCAATGACATAGTTGAACATACAGCATTTTCTTAACCACTTCCTGTCCGACCCATTTATATAAATGGCTGGACGGGAGCAGTGCAGGAGCAGGTTGCCGTTCATAAACGGCTCCCGCCATTTTAGCCTGTGCACACTCCCTGGGAGTGCGCAGCACTGCGATCCGGTGCCTGCTGTGTCTGGAGGACACCGATTGCTGTACGGGACCTCTGTGTGAGCTCACGATCATTTGATCACTGATTGGCCAATCAGTGATCACATGAATAGTAATAAGCAAGATGTCACTTCTGACATCATTGCTTACTATGTGTGAAATCTGTGAATGATCACAGAGGTCACATGGTACAAGGCTATTCACAACAGCCTTGTACCACGTGACAAGCTGTGACCAATCACAGCTCACACAGTATTTCTCAATGGCTGCAAGAATGCAGCCAGAGAGAAGGAGAAATGATTGCTTGTACAGCCTTTATGGGTGTAAAAGCAATCAGTGTAAAAAAAAAATAAAATCTTCATCGCTCCTCACAAATAGTACAGTGTCACCATGGTGAGACTGTACTGCTAGGGTGACAGTATGTTTAAAAAAAAACGTAAATAATTATATAAAAAAATTGTGTTTATTATTATTATTTACTGAAACTTAAGGCCAAATTTGAGTTCCAGAGATAGAAATACACCCAATCTGAGGAGCTTTCTGCACACAATTTGTGTATAGAACTCCTCCAGGTAGACATATTGCATGGCATTCTACTAACAACCTATATTTTGACAGCCCTCCACCTTCACTTTGTTAAATCCTCATGCTACCAATGTGTACATGAGAATGCTTGTGACAAGGAAAGTGGTGATCACTCAGCTATGCCAGCATAGACCAAAAAGATGCTTTAAAAATGTAAAAACATTTTTTGAAAAATTTAAATTTTTGGTTATAAATTAATTTGGGTTATTTTTTTTTACTAAAAAGATAGCTGAATATATTTTTATAAGAAAAACACTTTTTAAAAACATTTTTTGAACTTTTTCATTTATATAGCAAAAAAAATAAAAATCCCAGTGGTGAATAAATACCACCAAAATAAAGTTTTATCTGTCTAAAAAAAATGCTAAAAAATTAATACGGGTACAGCGTTGCATGACCGCGCAATTGTCATTCAACTTGTGAGTGCTGAAAACTGAAAATTGGCCTGGACAGGAAGGGGGGGTAAAAGTGTCCGGACTTGAAGTGGTTAAGGGATAGTTCCTGTGCAATACACATTCAGTGCAGTGCAATGCGATATGAGCCCATTCATTTTGAATGGGCTGAATTGCACTGGATCACAGCAAAAGTCTTAAAAAAAAAAAACGCTACATAATCACATAATACTTCAGTATTTGGTGCAGAAAAAACACACTGTGTTTGCATCTTGCGTTTGGGGTGTCGTTAACTTAACATTGACACCCGCTGCAGATTGCAACTGCAGTGCATTTTGAACGCCGTGTGGGAAATGCGCATGAAACACGGTTTTCCTGCACCACTTTGATGTGAACAGGCTCTACAAACATAAACAGCTAGGTCTCTGCTGCAAAGTTTGTTAAAATCCCTGTAATGTACATTGATCAATGAGAGGGGATTGTTTTTATTTCTCAACAAAAGTGGAGGTACTCTGTAAGCCTGAAGTTTGGATCTAACAAAGTGAGACAAAAGGCAGGGAGCGACTGCTGTATTTTTTTTCTTGGCTAACCTGTAGAGTTCTTGGAAGTTTTTACAATGAATTGTGAAACAAAGACTAAGTATAGATTGTAATACAGATATATAAAAACAATTAAAAATATAAAATAAAATAAATAACAAAAACTAAATTGTCTGTTATAGATTCCTTGTAGCAAAACTACAGTTTCAGTTAAATGTGTAACTGCCATCAGGTGGGTATAGCCTTGGAATGCCTTTACAGTGAAAGTTTCAGAAACGTTACTGGTCTACATGAATAATTTCCTCGTATATCACTGTATACAGCAACCCTATAATGTTTAACAAAGATCCACCTTTTCTCATTAAAAAAGCTGTTAATGCGTTAAAGTAAAATTCCAGCTTAAACCAACTAGCCCAAAAAATGCTCCCTGCCTCTCCTAACACCTATAATACCTATGCTATCTGTCTTGTAAAAAAAAAAGATGTAGCGTATTTTTCGCTCCATAAGATGCACCTGACCATAAGACGCACCTAATTTTTAGAGGAAAACAAAAAAAATATTCTGAACTAATGGACAGCAGACATAGTATAGGAAATGACCAGAGACTGCGGATGTACTACAGTAGATGACCAGAGACTGCAGACATAGTACAGGAGATGACCAGAGACTACGGATGTACTACAGTAGATGACCAGAGACTGCAGACATAGTACAGGAGATGACCAGAGACTGAAGACATAGTACAGGAGATGACCAGAGACTGCAGACATAGTACAGGAGATGACCAGAGACTACAGACATAGTATAGGAGATGACCAGAGACTGCGGACACAGTACAGGAGATGACCAGAGACTGCGGACATACTACAGGAGATAACCAGAGACTGCGGACATACTACAGGGGATGACCAGAGACGACAGTATAGGAGATGACCAGAGACTGCGGACATAGTACAGGAGATGACCAGAGACTGCGGACATAGTACAGGAGATGACCAGAGACTGCGGACACAGTACAGGAGATGACCAGAGACTGCGGACACAGTACAGGAGATGGACCAGAGACTGCGGACATAGTACAGGAGATGACCAGAGACTGCGGACACAGTACAGGAGATGACCAGAGACTGCGGACACAGTACAGGAGATGGACCAGAGACTGCGGACATAGTACAGGAGATGGACCAGAGACTGCGGACACAGTACAGGAGATGACCAGAGACTGCGGACATAGTACAGGAGATGACCAGAGACTGCGGACACAGTACAGGAGATGACCAGAGACTGCGGACATAGTACAGGAGATGACCAGAGACTGCGGACACAGTACAGGAGATGACCAGAGACTGCGGACACAGTACAGGGAATGACCAGAGACCGCGGACACAGTACAGGGGATGACCAGAGACTGCGGACACAGTACAGGAGATGACCAGAAACTGCGGACATACTACAGGAGATGACCAGAGACTGCGGACATAGTACAGGGGATGACCTGAGACTGCGGGGGGGGGGTTTGTACCCGAATTTGACAGGTACCCGCTCCCACTTCTGCTGAAGCGGTGATGTCCTTCCTCCCTCCTCATAGTCTTCTGGGACACATGATGGGTCCCAGAAGACTACGGGGCCAGTCACAAAGCGCAGAGCTTCTCGTGTATGCACAGTGGGCACCCAGCTATGAAGCCGCAAGCTGTCACAGCCGGGGGCCCACACTGAAGATGTCGGCGCTGTGGAGAGAAGACAGCCGGTGAATCCAGCCGTGATGAGGACACTGCTAGACCGAGGAACAGGTAGGTCCGAGAAGCAGGTTCTGCTGCACAGAATAGCAGAGCGGCCGGCCGCTCCATATTCGCTCCATAAGACGCATTTTCCCCCATTTTTTCTGGGGGGGGGGGGGGGGAAGCGTGTCTTATGAAGCGAAAAATACGGTAAATACTTACCTATTATCAGCCAGTACTGGCTGCAGGGTAGAGGAAGGAGCGCTGAGAACAGATGGCCCATAGGAACCTATAGGAGACATCACCACATCAGCTCTCGCTCCTCTCCCCTGCTGCTAAAACCTGGCAGCTGATTGGTTTCCATCAGGGGCGGACTGACAACTCATGGGGCCCCCGGGGCAATAGGGGATTATGGGGCCCCTGTGTCCTTGCCCAAACTCAAAAAAGCCTATGAAAAAGGTACCAGGGGCATCTCATGGGGCCCCCTACTGACCCCGGGCCCTCGGGCAGTGCCCGAGATTCCAAATGGTCAGTCCACCCCAGGTTTCCATTCACTCATTTACTAAATTCTGGAGCAATTGCCCCTGCAGAATGCAACGTCACTTGCCAGGCGCACAGTCTATTTGCCTTTAGTAAATCAACTCCATTACTTCTTAGATGTGTATTGAGGGTCACCCAGTACAAAGGATCATACCACTTGACCTTCAGGCCTTTTTCTGACACTTATGTTAAAAAAAAAATATATTTTTTGTTAGAAAATTAGTCAGAGCTCCCCAAACAGTATATATTTTTTAAATCTAGACAATAAGATGGTGGGTTTTGCTATTTTTTTTATGTCACACTGTAATTGGTTTATGAAACACAATTTTTTGGGGAAAAAAACACACTTTTTTTAATTTTAATGCAAAAAAAATACGTAATCCAATTTTTTTTGTAAAATATAAAAATAATGTTTTAATTAAAAAAATATAAAATGATGTTACTGGTAGTACTAGGGTTGTTGGTTCAAATGCTAGCCACAGTACCTCCTGCCTGGAGTTTGCATGTTCTCCCTGTGCCTGCGTGGGTTTCCTCTGGGTACTCCGGTTTCCTCCCACACTCCAAAGACATGCTGGTAGGTTAATTGGATCCTGTCTAAATTGGCCCTAGTGTGTGTATGTATGAATGTGAGTTAGGGACCTTAGATTGTACACCCCTTGAGGGTTAGGGACGGATGTGAATGTACAATATATATGTAAAGCGCTGTGTAAATGGACGGCGCTATATAAGTACCTGAAATAAATAAATGTAACGCCAAGTAAATAGATACCGAACATGTCACACTTTAAAATTGCGACAAACGGCATAAATTTTACTATTCACTAAGCCTTTACAGATGACCACTTTAGCTCTAGGTCTAGAATTAATGCCCATGATCTGACGTTCGCGGTGATACCTCACATGTGTGGGACGATCGCTGTTTGCGTGCATGCTGGTCTGATCCGTCCATTCGCCATTGCGTGCAAGCACAGAGGTGATGTCAGTTTATGGAGAGCAGATTAAAGTTGATCCTGGCCTTGTACGGCTGTCTGGCCAGCCAGTAGACATGCCAGCTGGTCGCTTGGGTCTGGTGGTTGGACGGGAGCGGATGTTGAGTAAAGAGGTAGGGAGGTTCTGTGGGAGCGGATGGTGAGTACAGAGGTAGGGAGGTTATGTGGAAGCGGATGGTGAGTACAGAGGTAGGGAGGTTCTGTGGGAGCGGATGGTGAGTACAGAGGTAGGGAGGTTCTGTGGGAGCGGATGGTGAGTGCAGAGGTAGGGAGGTTCTGTGGGAGCGGATGGTGAGTACAGAGGTAGGGAGGTTATGTGGGAGCGGATGGTGAGTACAGAGGTAGGGAGGTGCTGTGGAAGCGGATGGTGAGTATACAGGTAGGAAGGTTATGTGGGAGCGGATGTTGAGTACAGAGGTAGGGAGGTTCTGTGGGAGCGGATGGTGAGTATGTAAGCCGTGTACCGGGGTGGGCTCCCCAGGATACAGTGAAGTCACGAACGAGGAAAGCAACCCAGACACCAGCTTTTGCCACAACAGAATTTTACTTAGATGTGGCAAATAAACACAACCACAAATGCTGGAAACATACAATAAATTTACATACACCCAGCCCAAAGGCTGAGACCCTTGTGCTGCACAGCACAGCGCCTCCTGATGGATGAAGGTAGAAAGTGTAGTAATTTACCTACTGGCGGGCTCAACTAAGCTGCCACACCTTACCTGTTATTACCCTAAAAGAGCAGGAATCAGTGTATGGGTGTATGGTATGGGCTAGCCTGCAGTGCAGCACAACAGCTTACAATCTTACACAAATCTACAGTATTCCCCCTCCCATAACTGGTCCTGTAGCACATGCCTGAGTATTCCTTCTGAGCCAGTCTGGCTTGAGTTTGTAGGATTTTATCAGCTCTCCAATGTGAAATGTCACTTTAAGTTGTGGAGTCCTTCCAATAAATCAGTAACAACACTTGTGGCCTGACACAGAGACCCTAACTAACTAACTATAGGCCTGGACTCAGTCTCAAGGCACCAACACTGAAATGAGGTGCGTGCAGGATCTTACCGACCCGGGTCTGCTTTCATCTGCTGGTGACTCTGAACAGAACAAATGTCTCTCCAACAAGCATGCGGTCTCGCTGTATATGTTGCTTAGTTCCTCTGCTCTCATCAGCCTTCCTGACAGCAATCTCATCAGCATTCCTGGCAGCAATCTCATCAGCTTCCTGGCAGCAATCTCATCAGCATTCCTGGCAGCAATCTCATCAGCTTCCTGGCAGCAATCTCATCAGCTTCACTCAGCTGCAGCTCTGGTTACCGAGGGACGCTTTCACACCTGGATGTCATCAGATTCTCAGCTCACACGGCCCCTTATTCATCATGCTACAAAACATGGCTTCTCTCTCTCCTTCCTGTTCTCTCCAACTCTGTGTGCAAAACCCCACCTCTTCATGAATATACAAATATCTATGCAGTCTGAGGCTGTGTTAGAAAAACAGTGACATCTTGTGGCTAAACCGCAGAATGTCAGTCAAAACATTAATTTACTTCCACACAGTGTTCAAACAATGAGAGCTATTTCCCCATCTCACAAGTACAGAGGTAGGGAGGTTCTGTGGGAGTGGATGGTGAGTGCAGAGGTAGGGAGGTTCTGTGGGAGCAGATGGTGAGTGCAGAGGTAGGGAGGTTCTGTGGGAGCGGATGGCGAGCGCAGAGGTAGCGAGGTTCTGTGGGAGCGGATGGTGAGCGCAGAGGTAGGGAGGTTCTGTGGGAGCGGATGGCGAGCGCAGAGGTAGGGAGGTTCTGTGGGAGCGGATGGCGAGCGCAGAGGTAGGGAGGTTCTGTGGGAGCGGATGGCGAGCGCAGAGGTAGGGAGGTTCTGTGGGAGCGGATGGTGAGCGCAGAGGTAGGGAGGTTCTGTGGGAGTGGAGGGTGCTGTCACTTCAGCCGCACTTCTGTGTTTATAAGAGACAGTAGATATGGGTGTGCGCAGGGCCAGTGCCAGAGGTGGCGGAATGGCGTACCGCCATGTTCCGGCTGAAAAAAAGCCCTGATCACAACTAGGTCTTATTTTCGGGGTAGGTCTTATATTTTAGTAATTCCCAAAAATAGCACTAGGTCTTATTTTTGAGGTAGGTATTTTAGGGGAAACAGGGTAAGTAATATTTAAAAAATCTCCATACTTCTCTTTGAACTAAGGCTTGATAGAGACTAGCATCTCCTAATGACACTAAAAACGCCTGGCTGATCCAAAACCTAAATCTGATGCTAGGTCTGATTGAGGCCCTTCGGGAATATCTCCTAGGAATCAAATACCCCGAATAACCTTCCTGAGCATTTTAGTCAATCCATATGTTCTGTGTGTCTGTCTTGTTACAGAAAGGTGTTCGTGGCACTATTGACCTTTCCATCGCGAGATCTTTCTATCACAATGCAATCTGTGCAGTTCTCAAACTTGTATTTTACCATCTGGAATGTCTCCCCAAGCTATAGCAGGATTTAGCCCACCTCTCCTTCAAAACGTCAGTTTCCATCAAACCTTCGAGTCTGTTTCTGTTTACCGCCATCTCCTCTGACCCCCATATCTATGAAATATAATGTTTCTGGGCTATCGAATGATGAGAAATATGTTCCATTTAGAAAGGACATGGCAAAAGTGTAATATAGCCGCGGACGTTGAGTGGGAATGTGCCACAGATGTCTCGCTCGAAGAGTGTGTCTGCGTACCTCCGCAAGGTACCATAACCTCCAGTAATAATTTGACATCACGTTTCCTCTTCAAAAGAATAAATTAAAAGGCTTCATTGGAGATCTGGAAACCATTATGGAGTCTCCTGAGATTGTAGAAACTCAAAACGAGGCCTAAGACAAAAGGGGACTGTAGATCAGACCGGAATGTGGAGGGTTTAGAGCATAATATGCTGGATCGTATGATATGGAGTTGTTAAAGGGAACATGTGGCCGAGTTTATCGCAAAAAGCAT